TGCACCAAGATAAGAATCTCCAATCATAGTATTACCTGTGTGGGCACAAGATAAGAAATCCTAATTTCAATGTATTAATATAGCATCTCTAGTTATCTTTCTCAATAGGAAATTTGAAAATAGAAAAAGAACAGTCTTCCCCGAAGAATTGGCAATTTCAAAATGATACAATGACAAACATATAAAAGTTGAAAGATCAGGGTAAAATAAAGGCCAGAAAGTAAAATAAATAAATAAACTAAGTGTTATGTCACCTAGTTTCATAATGCAAATACTGATTGAATGCACAAACTCATTTTGTCACAGCTGACATGTGACTGGAAGGCTCCAAGGAACAGCTTGCCCACCATTAAATATTGTTCAAGAATTTGTAAGAGTGCAAAAATTGTAATTGTTTTTGAATTTTTTTTTGTTAATATATGTTTTGTTTCAACTACGTAGGATACTGTAATTTGATATTTTGTTTTATTTACACGTTTGAGTTATTTAATATAACAGTAAAAATGGATCTTTTTTAACGCTTTGTACTTGACATGCATCAGAAACTAGCCTTCCAGATTAGACATCTGTGAGAGGACAGATTGATGGTGCTGTGTAGGTCAGATTATGATGTCTTATACATGTCCTACAGGCTGGAGGACAGCTCTGAGGTGACATGTTGAATTTCCTGTTTAACTTGGAAGGCATCAGAGAGATGACACACTTTATTATAGAATTTTCAGAGGAGATTTGGGTCAATAATGTCGAATTATCAAGTCTAAGAATGTATAATCTGAGCGATCAGAAAGATAACACACCATTCTTGCCTTCCTTGTCTGTATTGTTTCAGCAGAGTGATGTTTGTGCTAATGCCTGTATTACTTGTGTTTGCAAATTTTTTAGTGTAAAATGGAGTATACGAGGAGGAAATTGGAAAATATTATTAGATGTTTTTAAAAGTGACATAGGAGATTGAGATAAGGAATATATAGAGGATGGAGGAATTCAGAGAAGAATGTTTATTGAAAATTCTGCCCTGGAAACCCTGCTATGAAAGTTTTGAGAAATTTCATTCTAAAAAAGATTTTAAGTATTAGATGTAAAATTAAAAAACAATGTCAAATTTACTTAACTTCATGTTGAAAATTCAAAAAATATAAATTATATTTGTGATTTTCATTTATTACCTTAAATTTCAGAGACAAAAAAAATCATAGAACGAGAGGTATATTTCAAATTGAAATACACTTACTACAATTACATATAATTTCTTCAATAATTAACACATATCCCTGTTTTATTAGCATGCTCATGTAGAAAAATAATGTGATTATAATTTTAGGAACAAGAGAAAACTTATAAAATGAAAACACAGATAATCCTTTTCGCTATGACGAAAGGATGTCTGAGCTGATAGAGCGAAGTGTGCAAGTGTGTGAACCCAAGATGCCATTTTTCGATGTCATCCCTGAGATGCTGTTCGACCTGTAAGACAGGTTGTCGTTCACTACCGTACATTCCAAGGTGGCGCTATGATCCATGATGAGTCATCTCTAAGATACTGTCCAAGCACAAAGGGTTGTTAATCTTATTAAAGAATTATTGTTAAGATATAAACTAGTCTATGACATTGCAGTACTCATGAAGACTTTGTTAAAATATTTAATTTATTGCAGAGCTTAACAAGAGTATTTTATTCACAGCTCTTGAGCAATGTGTAAGATACTTTTTGTAAAACTTTTGTGTGGTTTTGTTCAGCAACATTTTTGTTGCTGCAGGCCACTACTTTAAAGCAAGTTTATTTCTTTTAAATTTTTTATTTGAAACATTTTAATTTATTTGCCACACTCTTTTTTCAATATATCTCACTGATTGCCATTACAAACAATTTAATTTGCACGGAAACTTTCTTACACGGTTGACAAAACTGTCTTATCATTCTTATGTAGGCCACAATTGAAAGATATGGGTTTTGGTGGTTCTTGATGTTTTGTCACCGATCCTGTACAAAGGCAACAATATCTTCTCCCAAGTTTCTGAAATTTCATACAATCTTGCAAATTGCATAAGTTTGTCGCAGGTGAGCCCACTGAAGGTTTAAGAGGGGACAACATTCAGATGCCTTTTATAATGTCCCTTAGATGAATGTGACATCACTTGGGTGATATCAAAATTTGATGGGGTTACATTCACTTTAATATAAAGTTGGAACATCCTTCTTTCATAATAAGTCCTAAGATCTAATTATGCTCCAAACTGTTACAAAATTATCAAGGAAAAAATAGGATTTTCCATGAAGTTTTATATTTGTACAAATGGTGACGATTGCAGAACTTCCACAGCACATCAATTATGATAGACATAGGGATTCAGTATAACTTTGAAAAGAAGTGCATTGACTAAAATAGTAGAAGAATGCCGTTTGTAATGAAAATACAATATTGACAAACATTACTTACGAATGCAAATTACATTAAAGCACCACTTTATTTCCAAAATTAAATTTTACTAATTTTGTCACTAATATTTTTTTCTGTAAAACCTTTCTGTAGGTTGTGAAAATCAAAGAAGCTTTTAAATAACAACATAGGTACACCTAACGCAACATAAGTAAGTCTACTATGAAAGGTAACTAAATGAGCATCATGACCCTTGTTTGGAGTATTAGATTTTCTTTTTCTTCTTTTTAGGGGGGGCTGCTTTTGCTCTTGTACATGAAAAACCTAATTATTACATTGAAATGTGATGAATTCATCCAATGCAATTAAAAGAGGAATAATTAATATTAGTAAAGTGTTGAAATTAAATATTAAAGAATATAACAACCCAGAAACTAATCTCATCATTAAAAACAAAATTGTACAAACCACTGCAAAATGGACCCATAATTGCTTCTTTACAGATACCTCGATACAAAAAGAAAAAAGAATTACAACTAAAAGAAGAGAGCAACAAATCTTATCAAGGTGCAAAATGAACAACATAACTAAAGAAAATGCACAAATCAGAATGCAAAAATCATACAATTTCCTTCCTTTTATCCTACAGATGGCAACAACAACAACAACAAAACCTCTTAAGAAAATCTCTGTTTTGATTCATATTTCAAAATCCAAAATATACCACATATGATGTTACAGTCAAGCAAAGGACATGAAAGTGTAATAAGGACAAGAATGATTCACAATGAAACTGCATAACTTTGATGAAGGATGAAATTAAGCTTGTCAAAATATCAATATACATAAAAAAGCAAGTGCACTTTAGGACTAGAATTTGGAAAAAAAAAAAAAAAAAAAAGTCAACAAAAATTAGCGAACCATAATACTATGATTACAACACAAAATCTGTTTTTGAGACTTTTTCAAAGCATCAACCAAATTTAGTTTTTTTAAAATCACCCATCATAATCATATTAAGAAAAAATATTAAGAGAAATCACAAATTAAATAAGGCAACTCTTGGATTGTTTCATTACAAAGTATTTTCATAAATGACATACGAGCACTTTTAGTTGAATCTGCAGAAGTGTGTGAAATATGCAGAATTAAAGACCTTTACAATGTAATTTATGACATTAGGTCAGAGATATGAAGATCACAATGTACATTGACATTTTCCCCTTTGGACAAAGACTACTAATTTGCTTATAAGTTTTATTGTTTTGTGAGATATCGAATCTTACTGCATGATTGACAGAAGCAACTCATCAACTGAATTTATATGACAAGAACCTTGTAGAAAACATGCTTGGAGAGATACATCATATAAACAGAACCATTGAATATGGTCATTTTGAATACTCAAATTCACAAAAGTGAATATTTTACACATAGAATATACAAGCCATGTATACGTTCTGCCAAATTAATATCAGAAATTGTTCATAAAAATACACAGTAAAAGATTTCTATTAATTGGCAATTTAGAATGGTATCACACAATAATGTTAACCAATGTGTTTCCAGATCCATTCTGTTTTCCTTAGACTGGTTTTTAATTAATGAACCATGTGATTTTTAAAACATTTAAATATAAACAAATGTTGTTTCCAACATCACTTTTTGTGTTTGTTGAAAATGGTGGAGAATGCCTTCAGGGAATTATCATCATAAAAGTACAATAAAGCAACAACATGGCTTGTTCCGAAAGAACAGAATTGACCCTCCAAAAATAGCAACTCAAGACACGCAACTGATTACTGCTCGAATAAATCAAACTGAAATCCACATTCACAAAACACATTAAAATCAAAGAAACAGTTTTTGTAGTCCGACTTGCAAATTAACTAATCAGTTTCAGTAGTATTGTCTGAATATTATGAGGCCTCTGAAGAATATCTGAATAAAAACAAATCCATCAAATGATACTTTTATGGAAAACAATTCACAGATTCTAACCCTTAATGACGAGCCTTGTTCAAGAAATGCTTAATGAAATACTCCAAGAATATCATCAACCAAGCATGTTTTGGCAAGATGTGACTATTTTTATCACATTGTGAAACAGGGCTTTAATCTACAATAAATTTTTTCTTCTTCTTTTCTTACAAGAAAAGTGCCCGTAAAATGTGTTTTGATGAGGTTTATTCATTGTCATAAGTAGGACCTACTAAAATGTAACATGGAAGAGCTTAATTTAAAATTTTGCTTTATTGACTTTTAATTAAAATTTTGTTTTATTGACCAATTCCTAGAATTTGTCTGAATGTTTTAATGATTTGTTCACTCTACATTATAAGTTACTCAAATGCTTTCTAAAATTCCATTTGAAATTCCACTTCCCCTAAGCAACAATTTTTAGAACACAAATAATGTATAAAACAGCAACCCTTCCCAAAAATGAGCAGTTTCCTTGGGAATCACTCTGATTGCTGATAAGCATTGGCCTGGACACTGCATGCTGTGCCTCTTGGGCGCAACTGAGACAGGTAGGCAGGGTGAGGCTCTGCATCACACCTGGTGGGGCACAGTGGACGGCCGGGCGGTCGAGTGAGGCAATGGGGCTGCGAGTGAGCGTACCAGGGGTCTTTAGGAAGGTCAGGTAACTGTCCTGGAACTTGCTCCAACCTGCCCCTGCTCCGTCTGCTACAGACGCAACTTGCGCCGTAGTGGCTGCTTGTGCATGTGAGGACACCAGTTGTTGTACAGATGCTGCCAGCGCTGGCTGCTTTGTACTTGGGGACACACCCCCACGATCCACACCATCTGTTCCTGTGCCGCTAGCAGAGTCTTCATCATCTCTATCCTTATGCGAGTGTGTGTAGTGATACGTAAGCCCTGGACGTGTCTTGTATCGAGCTCCACATACTGCAACAGACTCAAACGGTACAATTTGACCTCGGCAAGCGAGGCATGTAGTCATGTTACAAATAAGTACTACTTCTTAATAGTGAAACCATTGTAAATACAGTATTTTATTTTTTATAGTGCCTGAAAACAGAAAACATAGTTATATTAACATAACATTTATAAAATCTCTCTCTCTTTCTCTCCGTCTCTCTCCCTCCCACCCCAACCATTTCATATATCATTGATCTGTACAAGAAAGTGGATTATAGCATTGACTGGAAAATGAACCATTGATCCATTTGAAAAGCAGATCAATTCTTACAAAGGATCACCAAGTAAATATTATACAAAACATTACTGACCATTTCTGGATATGTAACCCATTACATGGAAAAAGACCTTAATTTCAATTTTTCATTTTGGAGATTTTTAATGTTCAAAAATTTGAGGATACTGAACATATAAACAAGATATTTTAGCTTCTTGTTGCAACAGAAGATATTATTTACCAACTGTACACAATAAAAAAACTATTTTGAGAAAACCCTTTTTTTTTCACAGTTAACTTTTACCTAAGAAATCCATAATAATGTAGTATCCAAGAATCAAATTTAGTTTGGCAAGAAAACCATTAGGTAACATATCTAGAAACATACTTTTTACAATTTTGACCATCTCTCTTGTAAAATTTCATTAGCCGACTTTGTGCAAAAGGGTCACAACTTTCATAAAATACCACTTTATTACTTCATGAAACGTATCTTACACCACAACTACTGTAACGTTCATTTATTTCCTTTAAAAAAACCTAGTTCCCTAGTTTAAAATAAGGACAATTAAAAAAATATTTATTATGTAATATTCCTCATGATACAAAACCACATGTAATTTTGTTCTCTACAAACATTTCATTTTCAAAAGCAGATTCAGGCTAAAGGTATTTTGGAAACAATTTCCACTTTTTACCCACAGGAATCATTGGAACATGTATTAGTAGACACTGAAGCATTGAAGTGGTAAAGAATTTTCAGTAACTATTGTGTTCTGCTTTAAAAATTTAACTTTTTTCCTAAATGTTTACTTGCTTGTTCAGTCCCTTTCTTCTCATAAAAAATCAGTTCCATAATTTTGAAAAGAAGACTGATCCTGCTTGAAAACAAGACGGAATTTTGCAAACAAAATGGATGAAGCTGTATCTTCTGTTTCTTTCTTAATAGAAAAATTCTTTATTCTCTAACTTAACAGGTACTAGATGCAACATGTTTCATATTTCAATATTTAAAAATCAAAAGAATAATTCTCCATACCATTACATTAGCAATAGCAAGTATTATATCCAGAAGAGAAGTATGTGATTGAAAAATAATGTTTTAATATCAGGATGCACATTCCGAAACACCACAAATTATTTCAATACATATGTATCATAATCTTTTTATACAAACTCCCAAGACAAGTTATGTACAACAAAGCATTCAATAATTTTCTTCTATTAATAACCAATATAAAATTACTTTTATTTTCTATTTCATTAAATATTGAAATCTTCCTCAGTATTTTTCTGTAATAACTTTAGAACTTAAATTTTTTTTATTATCACTGAAAAACAATAACTGAGAAGTAGAAATTGCTTCTCTACATCAATAAAAAGATAATAAGAAAAACATTGAAACAATGTTTACATTAACGTTTTAATGAATGAATTTAATTTTTTGTGAAATTGCAATTTTGAAAATTCAATTTTTCCTAAACAATACAACTCCTAAGCAACTATATTTATAAATTAAATTTTAAAGAAATGCCAAAAAATTACACAGAATTTTCAAAAAACCTTTATTGTTGACACATGACCCCTGACACAGGGCATTTTATGTGATCTGCATTGGACATACTGTACATTTTCATTTCACAAATAATTTCCATACAGTCAGTTGATGTAGCAAGCTTTACATTTAAATCAACTAACACTTCTTGTGAACATCCTTTTTTTGACCATTGCTGTTTTGTTAATAATTCTTACTTTACAAAAAGAAATTATACCCATGGTTGTGGATTTTCTCTAGAAGTTATCTCTTTAGTTTCTATTCTTGGTGCAGCAACAGAGTGCAAATTGAGGGATCATCCCCCTTACGAGATGATGTTCCCTGCTAAAAAAGTATTTATTGAATTACAATATCATGGACATGATTATTGTAATTCATTTTTAGATGCCTGATCTATGATTTCCATACTTTGAATCAAGAAAATTGGGAAAGAAAACTTGGGTAGGCAAAATATGAGGGGAAGTGGGAGGGGGGGGGGGGAGAAAAATATCCTAATTGAATTAGTGACATAATATCAATAAATTTCAAGCGATTATTGAGAAGCTTCATGTAAAGAACTCCCCAATAATCATAATACCCGTTTCAAGCTCACAGGGCCATGAGTACCTTTAAATTGATAGAGGAATATCAATTTGGAGAAAAATGGACAGCCAGACAGCCAGAGACAGAGTGACAGACTGACGTTTTGCTGTCAGTTGGATTTTCTGTATCAAAAACCCATAAAACAATGAAATCTTACTATACAATGTATTAGAAGAAGTAATTTACAATATATAGAAAAAAGATTTATCCAGTTTTTCAATACCAGGGCCTGGCAATAAAAGATTTTCTGTAAAAAATTTGCTGTTTTTGAGGGTACGATAATACTTTCTCTTCTTACAAATTAAGGGAGAGAAAGTAAACATTGATTTCCAATTACATTTGCAAAAAAGGGTTAACATTTCTTTTAACCTTTGCAATTTTTAAAATGAGTTTTTAGGGAAACTCAAACCTAATCCTCTTTAATAGGTGCATTCTGCTGTCTTCAAGCAAAAACTTAAAACAGACCTGTTGTTGAGAAAATTTTAAAACTGACCAGGTGCATTAAGTGAAATACTCCTAAAAATTAAAAGATCCAATTTCAATTCAGAGTCGCAGAGCATTTCAACAGAGTCTCAAATGCAGCCGGATTCATCACAGATAATTAATTTTGGAAAAAATCCTACGATCAGTTTACATGCTGATGATATCTGAATGAATAAGCGAACAGACTTCTTGAAAAACAAAAACACTAGTGGTATCTAGGACCCCTGAATGGTTATTTCAGTTAAAATCTTAACATTGATTTTTTTGGCGGTGCTACACCACTTTATACAATAAATGAGAAAAATGGAAGTTGTCAAAGTGCAAAGGTGAAGGGCAAGGGCAGCCATGTAACATGTACAAATGTGTCAAAAGTCACTCGCTCTTCACATTTCTCACACATTCTTGTGGAATTTCATTTAATTTAGTGAATGTTTTTTAGACAGTGGGGAAAATTTACTTGGAAGCTACTATGTCTAGTATCACTTCTTGCATAAAAAACAAAGAACACATTTTTTCAGTCTGCAAGTCCACATTTATATATTTTTACTTTAATATTAAAATTCTGACATATAGAATACTTAGGTAATCATTCATTCCAGAAGAAAAACATAAGACTAACAATTTGACAAAATTTATGTTGTATGAAAAGAATAGAAAGTGAACTGTCAGTATGTCCAATGCAACATGTGTCAGAACCTCACTGTTTTTTAATTTAGCACTCTTAAAGTTTGGCTGCTCAGAATGTGCAAAAATATATAACATCCTTAAAAATTGAACTAAACTTCAATACTTCGAAGTGAAAAGATTTATTTACATGTTGGTTTGCACGCTGATTGTAAAAAACAAACTGTTGTTTTTGAATCAAATACCAGATAACCTGCACATTGCAACATACAGGGGTGCATGTGAAACAAACCTTCATATATCCAAGAAATCTGAGGAAACAGGTAAAGAAAAAATATAAATACAACACTGTGCAGCCTCACCTGTGCAGTCTACAAAGCCTAAAAACATTACTCCTGTAGAGAAAACATGATTTGGTTATTTGTTACAACAAAGTAGATTCACCAGCACCAACCCGTGAAATCACAGCATGAAATAAGTGATGGTGTATTTATCCAATGTGCAGTGGAGGCTGGAACACAGATTGAGAAGAAACCCAGGCAGTGTACAGAATACAAAAGAAATGGAATAAGAAAGACGGATAAAGAGAGAGAAAGACAGATGGGAGTAATTGCACACACATTAATAATTTACAAGAAAGAAAAAGAAATATATTAAAGTACAGTATATCATGAGATATGCCAATCTCTATTATTTCAAAGTCAATGTTACACAGTTCATATACACAAAGATTAATAAAAAAAATCCATATACACATTGCAAGCAAAAAATGTTTGAATCATGCAAATGATAAATGCCTACACCTATGGTTCACTTGCTATCCTTTGGGGAAGGATACAAAAATCAACAGAATCATGCTAAAAGCTACAAAATATAACACACTATTACATAAAACATCAAAACAATTTGCACCCACAACTGCATACTTACTTCTCAATAGAAAACTTAAGATGCTGCTTGAATAAAATTACAGTGGTCAAAGCAGAAATAATGATAGCACCCCAAAGATCAGAGTGTTTGTATTATTTCTTGTGCAGAACAAAAAACAGTACACATAGAAATTTCATAAACCAAAAATTCTACCAAAGAACCTAACTCTGCTTGGGTAACTTGAAAGACGTTGCAATTAGAAAATGCAATTAATACAAAAGATTTCTGTTAGACAAAGGAGATTTAAAAACACCTACCAAGCTTTAAGATTTAAAAACAGCTACAACACTAAATATTTATGACAAAATATTAATAATAATCTGTAGAGCTCAAATTTAAGTATAAATTGCAATCAAAATTTTGCTCTGTTGAGTGACAAATTCAACAATTCATCTGACACCAAACATAGAGAAAAACACACCAGCAACCAAGAAATGTGCTTTACACTATCATGCAAATTTCGCAAGACTGGATAAATGAAGTTTTACAAATTAAAGTAAACCCCTGTTTTTACATCTTCCTGCCTTTTATGAAATTTTTCGTCGGTCCGTCGTAAAGCTTATATTTACAATGCAT